TAAACACATATTATCTATCTATTTATCTATCTATCTATCTATCTATCTATCTATATAATGTCTTGGGTATGACGATAAACTACATCCGTCAGCAAGCCTTCTCATCGGGAGATTGGAGGATTAGAGGAGCGTGGAACCATCTTTTAATTGCTGTTGTTCCCAGCACCTGTTAGGGTCCCAGCTATAAGCAAATAGTGCCTACCAGGGCTGACCAAGCTCTTTAGTGTTATAGAACACGATTGGTCTCGGAGATGGAAAACTCTTACACGAAAAGCCTGAGGTATATTGTCTGTGGCATTTATTTGCACCGACTGAATGTATCAATAGTTCCGAAAAGTGTGGATGGTTCTGCACAACCCCTCACCATTTTAATCAAATCACTTGTGTGGGTTTCCTGGCGGTTTACCTTGATTCGTTCATTCTTATCCACACAGTTCACTTGCAAGGTCCGCTGACGAGAGAGTGAAGGTGACGGGGTCGGGTAAAGGATATTACTGGAAGGCTCAGTCTGGAGCTCTACACAGTGGCAGACCGATGGGTGATGGCCGTTCTTCCACAAACCCATGAGCAATTGGGATATCTGTGTCCTTTATCGGTGACAAAGCAGCCCTATTTAGGATTGCACTGCTTTCCCTATTATGGGGAGGGGCGATAAAAGGAGTCCTAAACATTGCTTGCTCACACAGAGACTTGGCAACCCGTTGCATCTATCTGGTCATCCAATAAGTCGAATTTGTCGAAACAGCAAGAAAGATCAGAATAAATATAAGAAGAATTTCCATTTTGGATCCTGGAATGTTCACACTCTCCCGGACAATGATTCTTCACCAGAGCGTAAAACAGCTATTGTTTCTCTCGAAATATAACATCGACATAGCGGCCATTAGTCAAACACATCTGGCTGTTAATTCTCAGGTTAGGGAAGAAAATAGCGGATACGTATTTTTATGGGCTGGCAAGACTGAGAAAGTGCCACGCCAGTCTGGTGCTGGTTTTGCTATCAAGTCAGAACTTGCTAGCTCACTGCCTTCCTTGCCTAAAGATTTATCAGATCGTATAATGGCATTAACCCTCAATCCGTGTGACGATGGTTAGCTGCTACGCACTAACCTTAGGTAGTTCAGATGTCATCTCTAAAGTCCAACATAAGGATAAATTAATCCTTACAGGTGACTTAAATGCTCGTGTTGGCAATGATCATCATTCTTGGAAGGGCGTATTGGGTCACCATACTATTGGTCATGTGAATTCTAATAGATTACGCCTTCTCACTATTTGCAAGGAATTTGACCTTAGTACCACTAATACCTTCTACCAGCAACCCAGCTGTCGTAAGACCACGTGGATGCATTCGAAAGAATAGTATCTGATCGACTACGTCATCACCAAAAGACGGGACAAAAATATTTTAAGATAACCCGTTCATTCACACATCATGCTATCTGTCAGATCACGCTCTACTTCGGAGTAAAGCTACACTGCATCGCAAAAGCGAAGGGTTATAAAATCTACAGTGCCCAAGTGCATTAACGTACTGCCTCTTAAATCGACTGAAACAAAAATTGAGCTCTCTGATAAACATGATGCTGCACTTGATTCTGTAAACATTACCAATGATATCAAATCATCTGAGAAAGCACTGCGTGATGCAACATATTCTACATTGGAGGTTCTTGGTCTACCACATCATAAACATCAAGACTGGTTATGACAATAATACGGAAGTTCAGTAGCTTATAGATCAACTGCACTCTTCTCATAAAGCATGGATTGAGGGCAAGAACTCGTCAGATAAGAAGATCGCTTACAAGAAGTTCAAACGTCAGGTGCAACGAGCTCTCAGAGCCATGAAAGAGCATTGGTGGTCTGAAAAGAAGCTTCAGATAAAAAGGATCTAAAGGCTTTCTATGCTGGCCTCAAGAGCATTTTCGGTCCTCAGAAAATTAGTGTTGTTCCAATCTCCACAGAAGATAGTGAAACTCTCTTGATGGATATGTCAGACATTTTAGATCGCTAGAAAGAGCATTTCGAAACTATGTTAAACACCACTTCGGTTACTGATGAGGAAGCTATCACATCAATTGAGCAAAATCCTAAAATTCCGGAGTTTTCTTTTGAATCTACTTATCAAGAGGTAATTGACTCCATCAAGCAAATCTCATCTGGAAAATTACCTACTACTAAGGATCCTATTCCACCCGAAGTGTATAAGCATGGTGGACAAAAGTTTTTCGTGGAGATATGGAAGGCAGGTTGTGTTCTACAAGATTATAAAGGCGCCTCTATCAAACACCTCTACAAAAACAAGGGTTCCCGGTGTATCTGTGATAATAATCGGGGGATATCCCTACTTTCAATTGCAGGCAAAATCCTAGCTAGAGTGATTCTAAACAGAATCATTATACACCTTATTGACGACATCTATCCTGATTCGCAGTGTGGTTTTTGGTCGGGTCGTGGCACCACTGACATGATATTTTCTCTTCGTCAAATTGCAGAGAAGGTTCGCGAGAAAAAACAGGATTTTACATGGTGTTTGTGGACTTGAAGAAGGCCTTTGACACTGTGAATCGAGAGGTTCTTTGACAAATCTTGAGGAAACTCGGCATCCCTGAAAACATGCGCATACAATCGCATGAACTCTTTTCATGATAGAATGAAAGCTAATATCGTGTCTGGTGGTATGATGTCAGGATCCTTTCATGTCACAAATGGCACCAAGCAAGGTTGTGTCATGGCCCCTGTCCTTTTTGCCCATTTCTTCTCGGTGATGCTAAAATATGCATTTGCAGACACAGAGAGCGGTGTCAAGTTTCAGTTTTGAACAACTGGTGGTCATTTCAATCATCAGCGCTTCAAAGCCAAAATCCACCTTCGTACGCAAATTATTCGTGGTTTGTTGTTTGTTGATGCTGCTGCTCTTGTAGCGACATCATTTGAGGAGGCCGAACATCTAATAAATCGTTTCTCTGCTTTGTTCTTACACTTAGCATAAAGAAAACTGAAGTAGTGCACCAACCTTGTCCTACCCCGAATCAATTCTGTGGGTAGAAACAAAAACCACCAATCTACAAATTTCCAGAGAGACCATTGAAAGTAGACAAAAGCCCTGAACTATGTAAAGTCTTTCACCTATCTAGGTAGCAAAGCCAACTACAGTGTAACTTTAGATGATGAAATCATGCATCGGATTGCTAAGGCTACCAGTGATTTCGGCAAGCTTCGCCACCACTTGTGGAATGAGCGGGATATTCGACTGAATACGAAAATCGGGGTTTACAGAGCTGTTGTACTTGTCATCCTTTTGTACGGCTCAGAGTCGTGGACTCCATACAGGTACCATATACGCCAGCTAGATGTTTTCCATAAAAGCTGTATGCGTGCAATCTGTGGAGTTAAGCTTCAAGATAGGGCATCAAACGTAGACCTGTTTAACAGGTGTAATATTGGAGGAATCGAGACTTTTCTCATACAGTCTCAGTTACGGTGGATTGGTCATGTCTTGAGAATGTCTGATGACAGGATACACAATGTCCTAATGTACAGCCAGTTAGATCAGGGCTACAGGAATGTAGGTCGCCCATGGCTAAGATCAAAGACAAGCTGAAAATCAACTTGTCAGCTGTCAATATACCACATAACACCCTTGAGCGCTTAGCCTTGGAGCGGGTAGAATGGAGGTCAACGTGTTTTAGTGGACTCAGCAGTTTTCAATGTTTGTCTGAACCATCTTCAAGAAGCGAGAGCAAGATCTAAACGGTCAGCCAATCTAACAGTGATATCATCTCACAATCCTCACTCTTGCTCCATATGTGGCCTCCTTTGTAAATCACTAGCAGGTCTTAAGTGCTACATAGGATTATCGCACAAAATTTTATAACTGAATCAGTTAAGCTGTCAGATACTCATACGACGAAACCGACGGAAGAGTCCATTATTTTTATTATATATATATATATATATATATATATATATATATTGAGATAACGATAAAGTTTTTGTTTTGATTTTCAACCAAACCAATGTTTAGAAAACAATAGATTTTTCAAAAGCATTTTGAAACGATTAATGATATAAAATATTTAGGGAAAATTTCACTCTAAAATAATACATAATTCCATTAGATGCGTACACAATCCCAAAATGATTATCGAAAAACCTTTTTTTACAAAATTCATGCCTATTCTTGTTTTTATTACCAAATTAAACGGTAGCTAGAACCCAAATTATGTCTCTTTCTATTCTTCATTTTTGGCTGAATTTCTACAGTAAACTTATAAATTCGAATCACATATTTATGCCTGAAATGACCATTTTGTACAATGTCCGAGACTCTTCAATTCATTAAATATTAAATCGTTTGAGGATTTAGCCGACAAATTATATTCAATTTCTTTCAGTATTCGCTTCAGTATACTTTTCGGGGTATTGGACAATAAATTTGCTTTTTATATAGCCTGACTAAAATTGAACCAAACCAATAAACATGCGAGAACACTATACTTTTTTAGATTCAACCGAGGGTATTTTTTAATTAAAGTCTTCCAAATTCTTGAGTAAGACATAAAATTAGATTGACCGAAACGCTGTTATAAAGATATCAAAGGAAATGAATCTGAATAAGTCAATATTAATAACAACTATTTCAAAAAAAATAATTCTTAATTTGAAATGAAGGCCGGAGTTTGCAACGATCGAACTGTCAGGATGAAAACAACAAAAAACATGAAACGGATCGAAATGAATCAATATATAGTGGTAACAGAAGTATATCTCAGAAATTCTGAGAGAAAGAAAACCGGAGAATACAGCGGCCAAAATGCCTGGATAAAAACAGCAAAGATAATAAAAATGTTTCAAATGAATCAAAGTATATTTTAAATATTTACTCTGTTTAAACCTGAGGACCTTTGGCCATTTGTTTTTCGTTTTCTTTATCTCTTCACAGCCACAGCCTAATCTCCATTTCCCGTGTGACAATCTTCTTTGCCTTTTTTCAGTTGGTGTCAAAGGTTACAATGAATGACGAAGAATTCGAAGCTGCTGGTCAGCAAATGCTCAAATATGCGATTGATTACCACAAGAATATCAGGGAACGTCGGGTCGTGCCTGATGTGAAACCCGGTTTCATGCGGCAACTCCTTCCTAAACATGCCCCGCATACACCAGAAAAATGGGACCAAATATTCAAAGATATCGAAAGTGTTATTATGCCAGGGGTAAGTAGATATTTAATCGGTTTAACTTGTAAAGAATGTTCACCATGTGTGTAATGAAAAATTTTCAGAATCTCGATCATAGATTTTCCGAGTGAAGCTTTTATGTTGGCCGAATTTGTAAACAAACAAAAAAATTACAGAGCAGTTCCAATACAATATATAAAGTAAAACTCGAAAAGCCACTGCATACACAAAAGGTCGCAAAAAAAACAAAAAAAAACAAAAAAAACAAAAAAAAAACAAAAAAAACAAAACAAAAACAAACAAATCAGTCGATTAATCAATTCCCAATAAACGAATATTAGTCATTATTTAACATCATTATAAACGATTAATTAGAAGAAATATTAATCCACTGACTGCAAGTAATTAAAATCGAACCTACTTTTCAAGCGCGACGTTTTAACTTAAATTTACATAGCATAATCTTTTACGATTTAAAGGTTATTTCTAGTGGATACGCATATTTAAGTAGAAGCTCTGTTTATTTATTAAACAGTATAGTTATTTATTTTCATTAATATTTGAGAAATATTATTAAAGAAACATATGCGCTTTCCAGCAAGATTCAAATCTGCGTCTGCCTTGGCAAGGGAAATCGTCGTTAGATCCAATGGGCTTTAGGCTGTCTCGGCTACGAAGTACGTCGATGAACAAGAAAAGTTAAATAGTGTCTTCTAAATGCAAACCTTTCTCAGACTCTCAAGACATTCATATCTGCTCAGTTCGACGTTAGGATACGAACTGAGAAGATAAAAAAATTGTTGCTAGATGAAAACAAGTAAATATATTGTTTAATAAATAAACGGGGCAGCTACTCAAATATGGGTATCCATTAAAAATAACGTTTAAGTAATAAAATTTGTCAGATTAATAAATGAAATTCGTCACTTCTTTAGAAATTGTTTGTATAATCTGTAGTAGAGAGAGAATCAAGAAAGATTATGTGTCTGGTTTCATCATTTTTAAAAAACATCAGTTCTGTCTGGATTATCCATCGTAATTTCAACCATTCTTTCAAAATCCATCAATTTTGTATTATCTCTAAATTTGAGATGTGAAATTAACAATTCATATTTTCGGATATTTAATCTCGCCTTCATTTTGGTTTTACATCTCTGCGTCTGTTATACATTTTTGAACCATTTTAACCTCGTCTGGATAATCCATTCTTTCAAAGTCATCAGCTGTCTATGTTATCCATTCTCTCAAACATTTCAGCAGTGTCCCCAGTTATTCATTTGTGGCACCATGCATCCGGGCGATTTGAAAGATATATTTTTAGATATATGATTTGCTTTTTTACGGTTTATCAACCACTTGAGGATTATTTAAGGCCGAAATGTATTTTATTAAGTTTTAAGAATAATTTTTTTTTTTTATATGAAAGAGGATTGAACCGCCATGCATTCAGGCGATTTGGAAGAAAGAAAGAAAAAACGAAGAAAGGGAAAGGAAAAAGTAATACGAAACGGGTCATAGGCGATAACACACACACACACGGCTTAAGAGACGGAAATAAGAAAGAAAAGGGTTATTGTTGATACAATATCAAATGTCGAAAAAAATAAAGGCCACCTGCGAACAAGCGTTGACCGATTTCCGTTTTATCCACGAAAAATGGAATTGTGTTATCAAGAGATGTCACCAAAGAAGGAATCCATTTTCAACGTTAGGTTTTGATAATTGACGAAACACAGGCCACTAAAAAGGTCTTGGCTGGGTATGGAAAATTAAAATCCCACACAAGTAGTTTTCACTGGCTAATTTTTTTTCTTTTGACAGAACAGACTTTTGCCCTGCGATAATAAAATTTTTTTGTTATCAACACATGAACCGAAGGAAAATGAACATTTTTATTTTTTCTTTGGGAGACGCCAAATTGGCTAAAATTTTGGAGAAAATTTCTTTCTTAGACCATGTCAGATAGCGATAAACTGTTGACAAATTACCGATAAACGGGTTAACGAACGCCACGTGTTGAAACAGAGAGTTGTCACATCAACCGTTCCTAGAGAAATGATAACGGCGATTTGAAAGAAAGAAAAAAAGAAAGAAAAGAGATAATTAATTTTTTTTTAGTTAAGACAAGGTATTTTATTTTTTTCCAAAACAAAGCCACGGGTTGTTCACGCCCGACTAAGACGTCATTGGCCAAGTGGATCACATGACGCACGAAGGAGGAGGAAAGATACCCGACCAGGACCTCATTGGCCGGGAGGGGTCACGTGACGCACGAAGAAAATCAGTCGACGCCCCTATCCAGAGTATAAGTATAAGAAGCCGCTACGAAGAAGTGGGGAGGGCAGTTCACGCCTCTCAGAAGCATGGTTAGAAAGTGGGAGTGAGGAAAGAGTTACCAAAAATGGAAAAGAGTGCAAAATCCCTAACCAGAAATAAGAAGAGTGGGTATGTATTTAGAATTATCGAAGAACCCCTGGCGCCGACAGACCCACCCCGGTTTTGACGGCGTCAATAAAAACGAAGCCCCACCAGACAGAAATCAGTTGTCGCCCCTAGTGGACAGTTTTGTTCGGCCCTGAGTGCAGAAGAAAAGTTCGTTTGACCCAGGAGAGCAGAGAAGTTTAGTTCGCGCCCTGGCGGCAGAGATGAGTGCCCTGGAGTAGTTCGTTGACCCCTAGCGGGCAGAAGAGGAAGTTCGTCGGACTCTGGCAGGAAGAGTTCTGGACCGACGGCAGTTTGAGTGCCCAGTAGTTGAAGCCGCCTCAAGATAGCTGACCAAGATTCACGCAAAATTTTGGACTCTTCTTCAACCAAGAACAATTAGTTTGAAGAGCGACTTAGAACCAGACCACAGAAATAATTTTTTTTTCGACTTTCGTCCAAAGACACACCAAAACACAAATTTCTTAGAGAGCAGACAACTTGAAGCGTTAAAATTTGCCTAACGGAAAGCGTCGTGCCACAATCCACAGAACGGGTCGGGAGGTAGATGCAGTCCTATGTACCGAACAACTAGACATAAAAGTTTGTTACCTTTTTCTTTGATACTTTGAACTTTGTGAGTTTTCATTTTATTTTCTTTTATACATATTTGTGTGTTATCACCCCCGTTGAACTCAGCTTGCATTACGGTCCCAACCCCTGTTTGATCTCGTCTGTCTAAGATCAATTCACAACGTGGGTAGGCAGACTGGAGATCAGTGTAGTTACCCTGGTAACCAGGCGTTGGAAGCAGGTTGGGAACGGCGAGGCTGATATCAAATCTAACCAGATTCCTACCCGAATCACCAAAAGGGTTAGAACGTCACGCTTGGAGCAGCGACACCCGGACGGAGAGACAGCGAGGACGCGAACAGCGGACGTCCCGCGGCGAAGACGTCGAACAATTGGTGCTGTTTAGGGACGTCACATCTGGTGTCGTGACCGAGGATACGAATTGGAACGACCACGTCACAACTGGCGCCGTGGTAGATCAGGATAAAACGTTACAGTCGGCGCTGCGACCGGGGACGACGTCACAATTCATTGAAACATATCAGCTTTGTATTATCTATAAATTTGAAAAGATCATAGACATTCCCTATTTAGTTACTAACGCTAAAATATAACAAAACAAAAGCATAATGGCACCCTTTTCCCTCTCGAAGAAAGAAATACAATAAAAGACTTTCAAAATTAATATTTTATACTTCAATGAATATAAAATACTGAATTATGGACCTATATCATAAATTAATTCTTATTGACATTATGGCCATTACTAGATATATCGACAAAATTACATTAATAGAAAATTACCCCGAAAAAGAAAATGAAAAATCTATATAAATTAATTAAAACTGAAGATCTAAATTGTATTTTTTAAATCATTTCACCCCAAGCAATAACGCCATTAAGGCACAAGATTTTACCGAGTGTTAGAGAATATGAAAAAAAAAAAACAATATTAAGGAAAAAGAACAATAAAAGAACAAGGACTAAGAAGATAACGATTGACATGGCATTTAAATTTTTGATGATCAAAGTTGACCGAGAAGCAAGAAGCCAGAAGAGAGTTCCACAAGCAAGAAGTGTGATGGAAGAAACTGTTGAACTTACAGTTACATCGAGCTATTTCAACTATAAAATGATGAGACCTTGTGCCAATTTCAAACTGCAGTCTAAAGTCTAAGTACCATAATGGAAAAATCATCAGAACATTTTCCATGAAACTATTTATATTTAAGTATTTAGTATAAAGTATTTATATTTATTTTTAACCTCATCAAAAAATTAACCGTATATACTGCGACTCCCTATTTTTAACCTCTTCAAAAAATTACCAGTGTCTATTGCGACCCCTATTTTTTAACCTCTTCAACAAATTACCAGTGTATAGTGCGACCCCCTATTTTTTAACCTCTTCAAAAATTTCCAGTGTATACTGCGACCCCCTATTATTTAACCTATTCAAAAAATTACCAGTGTATAGTGCGACCCCCTATTTTAACCTCTTTAAAAATTTCCAGTGTATAGTGCGACCCCCTATTATTTAACCTATTCAAAAAATTACCAGTGTATAGTGCGACCCCCTATTTTTAACCTCTTCAAAAAGTTACCGGTGTATAGTGCGACCCCCTATTATTTAACCTATTCAAAAAATTACCAGTGTATAGTGCGACCCCCTATTTTTAACCTCTTCAAAAAGTTACCGGTGTATAGTGCGACCCCCTATTATTTAACCTATTCAGAAATTTACCAGTGTATAGTGCGACCCCTATTCTTTAACCTCTTCAAAAAATTACCTCTGTATAATGCGAGCCGCTATTTTTTTAATCTCTTCAAAAAATTACCAGTGTATAGTGCGACCCCCTATTTTTTAACCTCTTCAAACATTACCAGTGTTTATTTCGGCCCCCGATCATAAAACTCGCACGATACTTGATTATATACGGTAAAAACAGTGTCTTTAGCCAGATTATTAGGATAAAAAGCAACAATAACAAAATGCATTTGTCTTCTTTCTCTGTGAATGCATTTTGTTTATTATAACGAAGATTCCATCTAAGAACTTGAATTATTTCATATTATGTTTCTTTAATATTTTTATT